TGCCCATTTATGCCGATCTTATTCTCGTACGCTGACTCTGACTTAGTCGTTGCGCTGTTAGCATCAGTATTCAGGTTTTTAGGCTCACGACGACGGCAAAGTTCAAGTACCTTCTTTTTTCCAGTCGACGGCACTTTGTCCATCTTTGGACGACTTCGGAGGTTCCTGCAATGGTTCTCGTTAAGACACAACTGCTACTAAACTGCCATTACCACTTTGCCAGTTTGAAGCTTTCCAAAGTGCATACCTTCACCGTAGATGACTGTCTATGTAGCTGGTCTGTGGCGTGTTGTCGTGTATCCAAGAAGCAGGATCCCTCCAGCAGAAGTGCTTGGGGTACGCCGACTGCAGTGGGCTGAGTAGTAGGATAGAATGAGTCGATTGCAGAAAGCAAGGAGTTTATATAGGGGTAACACTATGGATGGATCCAGAGGTGGTGTGATAAGGAGATCATTGCTACTCGGACTGATTCACAGATCACTCGGTATAGATCGGTTGGTATGGAGGATTGTTCAGCCCTGATCTGAGTAGTTTGAGCTCTCGTCTGGTATAGTGTAGTGGAAAAAGGTACCATATTATGTGCACAATCCTGCGTTCAATACTGGTTCAAGTCTCATCCAGGCGCACTGACTCCGCATCTCGTGAATGCCATATTCGATGCCAGGCTCGTCTGGGATGACAAATGTAGCTACTTGTACACAAACTGGTTCGCTAGTCGTTTTACGGACCAAATTGCAATCAAAAGCCGGGGCATTTTTGGTGAACGTCGGATACGTGGCGCACCCCAAACGAGAAGTGATCAATACCGAGAGCATGTATAGGTGGAAGGGGGCCGCGGAGCCTCCAAAATATTTAAAACTATGAAGAACCATGAGGCATACTTATTTAATTCCCTGGCACTATCGCAAGATATGGGGGCCTTAGAGTGGCAATGCATTTAAAAACGCGTAAAATATCTCTTAATTCTCGAAATCGGGACTAACTTAAGCGAAGAGGGGACTCGAGAATGCGTGGGCAATTTCCATTTTCCCCGAAGTTCCGCTCCCCTCCTAGGCTTAGTCTTAGGAGCCCCAATATCTTGCAATAGCGCCGATTCCCTTTTCGTGGGAGCAAAATTCTTACCAATTACAGAGCTCCTTTTTCTGCGGAAAATGTGCTACCGTTACCGAGACGAGCTAGTGCCATGATGACCTT